GATACGGCTCCTAGAACTTTACCAAGATGTTGAACTGTTTCCAGTTTCTCTTCCTGTAGGGGGAAAATAGACAATAGTATCATAACTAATAAACCTAATGTCCTACTGTTCTTCAACCTTTTAAGTTAATGAAGGTATACAGTGGTCAATGAGGGAAATTTCACCAGAGCTAAGAATCTATAAACACTTTAGACATAGGATCTCACCTAATTTATGCTTTCCAAGGGTTACATCTATTTTTCTAAATCATTTCTAAGTTAACCTTGCAAAATCAACCCTTTAAAGTTTTGGATTTGATACATATTTTTGCTCAGACAACAAGCCCAAAGTAACAGTCTGTGATACAAACCTTATTAGGAGAGTTCATGGTTTTAGATGTTAAAGATCGTTTCTCTATCTTTCCCTCCGTAGCTAGACGAACTAGTGATTCTTTGACACGTAATTCTTCTCTTGCCACTTGGACTTGTTTTTCTTTCCATATAGCTATCTCATCTCGTGACCTGAAAGTTATAAAATAAAAAAGTAAGAAAAACAAAGCAAAAATGTCAGTTTCCAGACCTATAGATTGTAATTTGATAGTTACAGGTCTGTTTTATTCATTCTTAATCTAGTATTTTTAGGCCTTACCTTCCATCTTTTATAAAGCATGTCACAATGATATCTAAGTCTTTGTTAAACTCATGAGATTACTCCAGAAGTCTTTCTTGCTCTCTGTGTTGAGAAACATAATGAAAAGTTGGTTGGTAGATGAAGAGTTAATGACAACTTTTGAGCTGAAAGTTGATAAACCAGACTAACCTAATGAAAATTTTAAATAAAGACAAAGTTTGTGTTAACATAGAGACAAGTTACCTCGCCTGTTCCTCTTCACTGATCTCCATATTACCTACTGCCTTCTCATGGAATAGACACCCTGTTTTAATATCTAGTTCATAACACACCTCCAGAGACCTGAAATTATCAGGCAGTAACAAAATATAATAGTCTTTAACCTCTTTTAAAGGTTGCTGAGGTGAATCATTGAGTTTTAAGTTTACTTGCTAAACTAAGGATCTAGGTTTGATCCTGACAGAAGTTGTGATCATCCTTTTGGATTTAATTGATCTCCCTGTGATTGATGTGGGTCAGAGTGGCTGGCATAGAAAAAGTGTCTTGCTGTTCAGTTGGGACAATTAACCAAGGCCCTATGTGCTTTGTTTGGTAAAGAAACCTTTGATAGATGACAATAAAGATGGCTAGAGCTAATCAAGATGGCTAGATAGAGCTAATCAAAATGGCTAGATAGAGCTAATCAAGATGGCTAGATAGAGCTAATCAAGATGGCTAGATAGAGCTAATCAAAATGGCTAGATAGAGCTAATCAAGATGGCTAGATAGAGCTAATCAAGATGGCTAGAGCTAATCAAGATGGATAGATAGAGCTAATCAAGATGGATAGATAGAGCTAATCAAGATGGCTAGATAGAGCTAATCAAGATGGCTAGATAGAGCTAATCAAGATGGCTAGATAGAGCTAATCAAGATGGCCAGATAGAGCTAATCAAGATGGCTAGATAGAGCTAATCAAGATGGCTAGATAGAGCTAATCAAGATGGCTAGATAGAGCTAATCAAGATGGCTAGATAGAGCTAATCAAGATGGCTACAGCTAATCAAGATGGCTCCAGCTAATCAAGATGGCTAGATTTAAATGTTTATAAATAAATTGAACCCTGACTTACTTAATATGATAGAGGTTTGACATGGCTTTATTGTTAAAAATACCACGAGCCATTAGATCTTGAAACGCTAAGACTGGTAGAGAGAGATGATTATAACCAAGGGCACGTAACTCTTCAGTCAGTTCTTCTAAATAATGTGATGTTAACAACTAAACAGAAAAATAACAATAAATAATCAAATTAATAATCATTAATATTATTAAATTCTACAAAAACTATTTGAGACAACTTTTCAGAGCAGAAAATCTATACTCTGAGTACATTCAGAGCAAGACTGGAATAAATTGTTATTGAAAAAGAAGATAA